GAAATTCCATACTTTTGCCTCACATGAATCTTTTGATACAATTAAAATTCCATTAGTCAATTCAGTGTCTGAGTACTGAAGAAAACCTCACAAACAAGGAAGAAGGGAGAGAGATGAAGCATACTCTTTTAGGGTGCCAGGTGTTGGCAGAAATGAAGTAGAAAGAAGCGATTCAGTGATGAGGTGGAGCGATGAGAGAGAGGCCATACCTGCTCACCAGACTCTCTCCTCTTGACTCTGTCCCCCTGGCCTGCAGGAGAGGCCCTGAGGTGTAACAACTGCATGGGTCAGGGACAGGGTGCGGTCCCTGGGAGCTGTACAGTGCAGACGTGCATGGGTGGTAACACCGTCTGTGTGTCTGCGATCTTCCGCCCTCCTTTCTGTAAGTCAAGATACTGGGTCTGTCTGCTGGCTTGGTCAGTGTGTCTCTATCACCTAATACAGACAGTGTATCTCTATCACCTAATACAGACGGTGTGTCTCTATCAGTTAATACAGTGTGACTATCAGCTAATACAGACAGTGTGTCTCTATCAGCTAATACAGTGTGTCTCTATCAGCCAATACAGTGTGTGTCTATCAGCTAATACAGTGTCTCCATCAGTTAATACAGACTGTGTGACTATCAGCTAATACACACAGTGTTTCTCCATCAGTTAATACAGTGTGTCTCCATCAGTTAATACAGTGTGTCTCTATCAGTTAATATAGACAGTGTGTGTCTATCAGCTAATACAAACAGTGTGTCTCTATCAGCTAATATAGTGTGTCTCTATCAGTTAATACAGACAGTGTGTGTCTCTAACAGTTAATCTTCAGAATGTCTCTTTAATATATCAGTGTATCTGTTTGACACTCCTCGTGTCAGCTGTGTGTGCTGTCTTGAAGGTCAGGGAAATGGCTCAGCCCAGCGAGAGTGCAGTCTAACCACCCCTCTCTGTGTCTCTCTGCAGCGGGTGACATCCGGAGGTGTGGCAAGTCATCAGAATGCGCCATGCTGAAGATGGGATGGACCGCCAGGGGTTCCTGCTGCAAGACTGACCTCTGTAACTGAGCCGTGGCGGGGGGGCGGGGGAGAGACCCCTCTGGGTCGGGCACGGGGAGTCTCTTGTTGTCCCAGGGGGTCGTTCTTACCTGATTCTGGCGAGTGGCATGAGTGGGAGT